TGTAATGTATTCTTTCACCATACTTATTCAATCTATATGCTGAGCAAATAATCCAAGAAATTGGGTTATATAAAGAAGAACATGGCATCAAGATTGGAGCAAGAATCATTAACAACCTGCAATATGCAGATGACAGAACCTCGTCCAGTCAAAGTGAAGAGTATTTGAAATACTTACTGATGAAAATTAAAAACTATAGCCTTCAGTATGGATTGCACCTCAATGTAAAGATAATGAAAATCCTCACAACTGGACCAATAAATAATATGCTTAGATCCACAATCAACATTCATGGGAGAAGCAGTCAAGAAATCAAATTACATGCCTAATTCAGGCAAATCTGTGGTAAAAGACCTCTTTAAAGTGTTCAAGACCAAAGATGTCACTTTGAGGAAAAAGGTGTGTCTTACCCAAGCCGTGGTATTTTCAGTCAATTCATGCACATGTGAGAGCTGGAAAATAAAAATAAAAGATCATAGAAGAATCAATGTATTTGAATTTTGATCTTGGAGCAGAGTACTGAAAGTACCATGGGCTCCCAGGAGAACAAATCTATCTTAGACGTACAGCAAGGATGTTCCTTAGAAGCCAGGACAACAAGATTTCGTCTTTCATATTTGGGGCATGTTGTCAGAATGGGCCAGTTCTCAAGCCTGGAAAAGTAAAGTACCAACAAAACAGAGGAAGATCCCCCAACGAGACAGACTGACACAGTGGCAGCAGCAATGGACTAAAACATAACAACAATTGTGAGGATGTGTAAGGATTAGGCAGTGTTTCATTTTGTTGTGCACAGGATAGCTATGAATCAGAACTAACATGAATGTACCTAACAATAATAACATACTTCATAGGTGCTGTTTTATCCTCTCATTAATTCATTAAGTAGTGCAAAGTTCTGATATTCTAATTCCAACATGTTTTCTTCATTTATTACGTGGATGTTTCTCATCATCAACTATTTGGTTACCCTTTCACATAGTTCATATAGAATACAAAAGCTGTTCTATCGAGTTGGTTCTAACTCACAGTGACCCTGTATAGGGTTTCCTAGGAGTAGTTGGCAGTTCAAACCTGTGTTTAGCAGCCCTGTGTTTATCCCACAGTACTATCTCAGGACTCCATTGTTGTTGTTGTTAAGTGCCATCAAGCTAGTACTGATTCATAGCGACCCTGTACAGAGTTTCTGAAGAGCGGCTGATGAGTTTGAACCATTTACCTTACAGGTCAACCAGCACATCTTCCCCATATCCTTTATTGAGAAATGATTTTTAGAGACCACAACAAGAGCACTAGAACGTGTCTTTTTGTTTGTTTTTGAGTCCTTTGAATGACTTTGCATGTGTCTACTTCTAAATTCTACATTGTTCAATTGATACAATTCTTCCTTTATGGCAACATCATACTCTTCTATCTACTTTAGCTTTAATGAGTCTTGAAATTAGTAATGTAGCTTCTTATGTCAGGATTATTAAATTGTACTTTGGAATAAATTTGTCCTTCTAAGATGAAAAATTTGTTATTAAATTTAATCACATTCTTCCCTTATTTTCATTTTAATATCAATTGTTTCTGAAGTGATGACTCTCTTTTTTGATAATATTGATAATTTGCACTTATTGCTTTTGTTTTTCAAAATCTTTTTAAAAGATTAATCTTTGTCTTTATTACTTTTGTTTTATATTCAATTGATTTCTACTTTAACCATTTGTTTCATTTTCTCTTATAATTTCTTTTCTTTCTTTCATTTTAATATGCTAAATTTGTATAGTTCTTTCAGATGAATACTTAATTGGGTTTACTGTTTTCTTCATTTCTATTAAGTATCCAGAGCAACAAATTTCCCTGTAAGCACTATTTTATGTTTTAAATTTTTATGTATCATCAGTTTGAAATATTTTGTATTCCTTTGTGTTTTCTTCTTTGCCACATGGACTATTTAGTAACTAACATGCTGCTCAAATTCAAAATAAGTGAGGTGTTTTTTTTTTCATGTATTATAGTAATGTCAGTTTCACTACTCTTCATTAGGCTCTCAGTGGCTCAACATTCTTAAGTGGTCTGCCTCGCCTTCTTCCTAGTATGTCTCAGTTTGGAAACTTTGCTAAAAACAGTCTACCAGGAGTGATCCTGCTGGTATTTGAAATACTGGTGGAATATTTTCCAGCATCACAGCAACAAGCAAGCCACAAAAGTACAACAAACTGACAGACAAGTAAATGATGCAGAAAGCATCAAAAGAAGAAAGAAGATATACACAGAGTCACTGTACCAAAAGGCTGATGCTGAACCATTGCAAGAGGTAGCATCTGGTCAAGAACTGATAGTATTGAAGGAAGAAGTCAAAGCTTCACTGAAGGCACTGGCAAAAAACACAGCTGCAGGAACTGATGGAATACACATTGATGAACTCTTTCAACAAACTGTTGCAGCACTGGAGGGGCTCACATATCAATGATGAGAAATTTGGAAGATTGCTACTTGACTAATCGACAGGAAGAGATCCATATTTGTGCCCATTTTAAAGACAGGTGACCCAACAGAATGCAGAAATCATCAAACAATATCATTAATATCACATTCAAGTCAAAGTTTGCTGAAGATAATTTAAAATCAGTTACAACAGTACATTGATTGACAGGGAACTGCAAGAAATTCAGGCTGGATTCAGACAAGGGTGTGGAGTGTATCATTGTTGTCACCTGGATCTTGGCTGAAAGTAGAGAATATCAAAAAGATGTTTACTTGTGCTTTATTGACAATTCAAGGCTTTTGACTGTGTAGATCATGACAAGCTATGGATAACATTGTAAATAATGGGTATTACAAAACATTTAATTGTGCTCACGAGAAACCTGTATGTACACCAAGAGGCAGTAATTAGAACAAAGCAAAATCCTCACAATGAATAAACAACATCATGATTAACGAAGAAAAGACTAAAGTTTTCAAGGATTTCATTTCACTTGAATCCACAATTAGCACCCATGGAAACAGGAGTCAAGAAATCAAATGACATGTTGCATCTGCTGCCAAAGAGCTCTTTCAAGTGTTAAAAAATCAAAGGTGTCACTTTAAGGACTAAAGTGAGCCTGATGCAAGTCATGGTATTTTCAATCACCTTATATGCATGCAAAAGTTGAATAATGAATAAGGAAGGCTGAGGAATTCTGGTGCAGGTGAAAAATGCTGAATGTACTGTGGACTGGCAAAAGAACAAACAGTTTTGTCTTGGAATAAGTACAGCCAGAATGTGAGGATGACAAGACATGTTATCAAGGGACCAGTCACTGAATAAGGACATCATGTTTGATAAAGTAGAGAATCACAGAACTAGAGGGAGTCCCTCAATGAGGCAGTAATTAGAACACCAAGAGGCAGTAATTAGAACAGAGCAAAATCCTCACAAGGATGACAGTGGCTGTGACAATGGGCTCAAACATGGCAGCTGTGAAGGTAGCACAAGACTGGGCAGTGTTTCGATCTGGTGTACACAGGGTGGCTATGGACGGGGGCCTATTCAACAGACCCGAACAACAATATGTATAATTAAACTCTGTAGTGGTCAGAGAACATACTCTTTAAGATTTCTATATTTAAATTTATTAAGATTTATTTTCTTGATTCAGTATATGATCCATCTTGGTGAATATATCATGTGCACCTGATAATATATATTCTGCAGTTATTAAGTGTCATTGTTGTTGATGCTAAATACTGTCAAGTCAGTTCCCAACCATACTGACCTTCTATAGAGTTTTAAAGGAGCAGCTGGTGAGCTTCAACTGCCGCTCTTGCTGTTCAAACTGACTTTGCAGTCCAGTGCATTAACCCACAGTGCCACACCAGGATTCCAGGTATTAGGTGTATGACTCCATAAATATCAATCAAATTGGTTGATAGTATTCAAATATTCATTATGCTGTGTCATTTTTTGACTAGCTTTCTAAAAATTATTGAGGGCATCTCCACCCATGACTGTAGACTTACCTGTTTTCCCTTAAAGTTCCATGAATTTTGTTCCATGTATTCTGAATCTCCATTATTAGATGCATACACATTTATCATTGGTATGTGTAAGTCATTTGCTATGATTGCCATACCAAAATACCACAAACTTCTAAGAACATATATTTTCTTATAAAATCATTTAACAATCCTAGAAGCCAGAAGTCCAAATCAGGGTATCAGCTGTGTTGATTCCCTCAGAGTGTTTTCAGAAACTGTTCTATGCCTATCTCCTAGTTTCTGGTACCTTGAGGCAATCCTTGACTTGCAAATCTGGCATCATTTGGTGTTCTCCCTTGGTGTCTCTGGCTCTTTGTGTCTTCTCCTCTTTTATTAGGAAATCAGTGATATTAAATTAAGACTCATTCAGTAGAAGGAGCCCTGATGGGGCAGTGGTTAAACATCAGAAGGTTAGCATTTCAAACCCACCAACACCTTCAAACCAATTTAATATCAATACCCTCTCTATTCCTTTGTGCCATTGTGGGCATATATCTTAGATATTTTAGAAATATCTTAAGCCCAACAATACAAAATTTAAAAAATATTCTCTCCATGGCTCAATGTGTTTTGGTGCTTACTACATTTCCATTTTATTCCCATGCTTTCAATTACAATGTGATACTTAAAATGGCTGCAAATTCTCCAAGAGCTACAGTAACAAACCAGGGAAAGAAGAAGCAGAAAAATAAACATCACTGACCAAACTATAGTCTTTCTCTGTTAAAAAGGTTGTTGTGTGGATCAAATGTATTAAAATCAGTTTATGTAGAAATTGGAGCTCATTAAATGTTACTTTCAGACTGGGATATTTTTAATTAACATCAATGCAAGTTATGTATTGTGAACCAAATTATAATGAGAAACAAATGAAATAAAAACCACCTAAATAGGATCTCAAAAAAACCTTGATTTCTACACACTCAAATCTGCATAGTCTAAAAATATTTTTTAATTGAATAGAATTAAAATAATTACAAAAAAGTTCTTACCTTAATAGAATTGGTATTTTGTAGTTCTATTAACATGTCAATAAGTAATTCTGCTCCCAAATAGAATGGTAAGACAGAAGTACAGAGGAAAGCATCTTGATTAATAGGAAATGTTTTGTAAAGATCGAGTGCTTGTTTAAGAAGTATCTGCAGCTCCTGAGAATAGTTCCAAAAGGCCCGACAGGAGTTCTGAAGCAGAGTCCAGTAGCCACCACGATGAGCAAGAACCTAAAACACATGCAACATTCAAATGATTCCAAAGTTCCAAAGTTCCTTTTCATTGAATAATTTCATCTTTCTGCAATTACTGCATCAATAATTGTTCTTTTTGTTCAGTGCTGTTGAGTCAGTTCCAACTCACAGCAACCCTGTATAGGGTTTCCAAAGAGCAGCTGGTGAGTTTGAACTGTTGAACTTGAAACTCAAAGCAACATTGCAGTCCAGTGCTTATCTTACAGAGCCACACCAAGACTCCAATAATAAAGATAGCTAAAATCACTTTTTATTTACCATTTCCTATGTGCTAGATACACTATCTCATTTAATTAAATAAAATTATCTCATTTAATTAAACAAAAACTCTATAAAGCCAGTATGCATTAGTATTATATCCAATTTCCAAATGAGGATGTGAGACATAGAGCTAACTTGCCCAAGGTCATGAGTCTACTAAGAGGTGAGCTACTGGTCTGACACCAAAGATTTCCATTGTTCTAGTTGCCAAGGATACAACAGTGGGCAGGGAAAGCTAGGGCTTCTTTCCTGCTGTTTAAATTTTAGAGGGGAGACAGACACTAGAAAAGTAGACAAAAATATAAGTTCATGGAATAATAAGTGTAAGGAAAAATAAAAGAGAAAACAGGCCAGATGCAATAGAGGGTAAGAAAGCATGTTCTTTGAGACAGAGCAGTTAGAAATACAGCCAGAATACACTTGAGAAGCAAGGATGACAAGATGTTGTCTCATATGCTCTGGAAATAATAGAAGGAGGAACCAGCCCCTGGAAAAGGACATCATGCTTGGTGAAGCTGACTAGCAAAGAAGGAGAAGCACCTCAGGGAAATGAATTGAGAGAGTGACTCCAACAATGGGCTCAAATATAACAACACAGGGTTGTACATAGGGTTGCTATGAGTCAGAACCGATTCGATGGCTCCTAACAACAGTCAGAAAAGTCCTCTTTGAGAAGGTGTCATTAACACAGAGACCTGAATGATGCATTGCACAAATTAAGCGAAGGCAGAGCCAGGGGGTGGCCAGGATGGGAGTGCTGGGAGGAGAGCAACTGAGACTACAGGCAGAGCAAGTACCAAGGATGGAGGATGAAACTGAGGGCCAAGGAGGGAAAAAGCTTAGTGCTTATAAGATCAGAGAGGCAGGAGTGGGCTGAGTCTGAGCAGAGTAGCAAGCAGAGCCCAGCTCCTCCATGGCCCTGAAGCCAGAGGAAAGGAGGACAGGATGAGAAGTCCAAGGGGCACGATGTAGGTCTATTTAACATTTTTAAAGATCACTCTGTCCACTTCAGAAAGAATATGGAGACTTAACTGTTTCTTTCCTGACTAGCCAGGCTAGGTGTAGTATCTATGGCCTTCCTGTTCTATGAAAAAGGAAACAAATTGCTTAGCACCCAATGATTCCAGTGCAGAGTCTCACAAGCTCCCAGGTAACATAAACAAGGAAAAGACAAAAAGTCGTTGGAGAGCAGTAGGAGATTTGGGATGGGGAGTGAGGCAGGACCAGCCTATAGGCTAGACTGATCTTCCTCTGTGATAGAGGAAAGAGAGAGAGATCTGTGGTGCGAGGAACAATACTCTAGGAGGAAGCAGGATCCAAAGAGGAGCCCCTGGTTTCAACAGAAACCCCAGTCCCACTTGTGGCAAGAAAGCAGCAGAGAGGTGTGTGCATGAAGGGACTGTGTGGACAAGAGTCACTCGTTTGGGCAATGTGTGAATGTCCGACTACAATGCATGTTAAAGGAGCTTGCCTCCTCTCTATGAGGCCATGGCAGGCAAACCTCAAAGCCAACCCAGGTGAAATTCAGCAAGATAGGATCTCAAAGTTGATATTAAAAATATGTAAACAAATAAGTAAATAAACATAATACATTTTACACACCTGAGTTTATGGAATGAGATTTAGGTCTACTACATTAGCAAATTAAAATGACGTTACCATTGCTCTTCTGCAGTGCAAAAAGATTTTCGTAAAATGGTCCACTAGACCCATATTTGTCGTTGTTCGGTCCTTTTCCTTAAAACTAAGAAATGATAGCGAGTCTGAGTCAGAACTTGTTTGTGTCTTGGGAACATCTTTCTCACTCATTTTGGAACTATTAAACACTGAAAATTCATCAGCATCTACAATACAAAAATAAGGTGGAACGTTATTGAAAATAGAAAATTAGTTCCAGAAAATACAACATATATCAAATGAGTGTCAAATTAAAATAAATAAAAAATGCATGCTTAGTTTGAAGAATGGACAGGGTTACCATGGACTCAATGAACTAGGAAAAGTTTCTAGAGAAAGAAGCTCTTATGTTATGTCTTAATGGAGGGTCACAACTCAGCTTGTGGCAAGAATATACAAAAGACTGTCCCAGGCAAGGGAGTTGGCAAAAGAAGCAATGCAGAGGCGGGAATGTACGTGTTTTTTGAGCCAACATTGTTCCTTAATCATCCCCAGAACACAAAACAGAAAGCAAGTGACTCTCCCTGGCCTTTGTGCCATCGAATGGCTCCAGTCACTCACTCTCTTATTGGCATAAAAGCACAGAACATTCTCCAGGCACAAACCATCTCTGAGAAAACTCTTCACTAGGTAGCAAATCTCAGAATTAGAATAATCTGTTGCCAGTTTCATGGTAGACATTAGGTAAGTAGGTAGGTAGTTTATTTTTTTTTTAAACTATGTGCAAAAATCAATTGAATTTTCTTTAAAATACTTCAATATATATGATATGACATGTAGATACAGTTACATCTAATATGTACCTTACAAAAAATAGAAAGTATATGGTGGTAGTGGTTGTGTGCCATCAAGTCAGTTCTGACTCATAGCAATCTGCACAGGGTTTCTGAGGCCGTAAATCTTTATTGGAGCAGAAAGCTTCATCTTTCTCCTATAGACCAGCTGGTAGGTTCAAACTGGTGACCTGCAGTTAGCAGTCCAACTCATAATAATCAACTATTCTAATGAATCAACACTCTAGCATAAAAAGTTAACTAGTATATAAAGTATCCCAATAAACAATAATTTATCATACAGCACTTAGATTACCATTATTAAAAATCTATATGAGGTTTTATCATAGCATTAAGATATTATCAGTAAGTTTTATTTGTGAAATGGGTGATATTCAAGATAGTTAATTGGTTGCACTTACATATTAAATTGTGTTCCTCAAAAGAATATGTGAGAGCCCTATTCCCTGCTATCTATGAATGTGAACTTCTTTAGAAATAAGGTGTCTTTGAAGATATTATCAGTTAAATTAGCATGAGGTCATACTGAAGTGTAGGGGAGATTCTAATCCAATCTGAATAATGTCCTTATAAAATGAGCAGAAGGTACACAGGGGGAAGACAGTCAGTCATGTGAAGGTAAATCTACAAGTCAAAAACTGGGAGACGCAACAAAGGGTCTTCCTCTAGAGACTTTGAAGACAACACGCCCGACTGATGCATTCATTTGGACTTCTAGCCTCCAGAACTTTAAGACAACAAATTTCTGTTCTTATAGGCCATGTAGACTGTATCATTTTGTAAGGCAGGCCTGGTAAACAAATATGGTGAGAAGTAGTGTTCAGGCTCAATTATTTCTGCAGTAATGGGATAGAACAATGATTCAAGTCCAGCACATGCAAGTTATCATTCCAACACCTCAGATCAAGAGCTGTTTGCCCCCACATCTCTCTAGTTCATAAAGGTCCCTATTACTAACCAGGGTCAACTAACACTACTTGACCCTACCATACCCATATTGTTGCATTCATCATAGAGTGAAGAACTTTTATGGAACATGGTGGTGGAGATCCTAGGGCAAGAATGAGACTGCCCTAAACACAGAATAGGCTGGAAGACTGTTTTGTGCCTGTTGGCATTAATATGATAGAATTGGTTCTATAACTTGTTAGCAAGGGCTCACCTATCTTGAACCACTAGAGGCTGCCAATATTTAACAAAACAATTTTATATGGGCTGAATAGCCAAACTGGTTTAGGTCAGAACAGAACATGAATATTTCCAAATATATATGATAAGAAAATAAAAATATAGAATTTTTTTAAAAGAGAAAACAAAATTTCCTTTAAAGTATCACAGCTCAACTGAATTTCTGTGTCTTTGGAATATTGTGTGTGCAGCTCTGTGTGTTTGTGTGTGTATACATGTGTTGAATTGTGTTTGTGAATAAAAACCTAGAGGCAATTTGATAGTATATTGGCTTATTTGTTTTACCTGATGATAAGTTGGTCCTTGTTTTTTTAGCTGTAGGAAGGAAATCAAGCATTGCTTTATGATTTTCTACTGCAAACTTTCCTATTGGTAATACAATTCCTGAATTATATAATGAGAATATATTAGGATCAAATGATTGGAAACTGTAAAGGAAAAAAAAATGCATTAAAATAATAATATATGCAAAATTGAATTAAATACAATTAAAATACAATATACTTTGAGTTTTAAAACATTTTCAGTTGTTGTTATTGTTGTTGTAAAATGCTGTTGAGTCGGTTCTGACTTATAGCAACACTGTGGTTCCAAGGAGCCACAGTTCAGGGTTTTAACAAGTTCACGGTTTGAACTTGTTAGTGCTCACAAATTGTGGGCCACCAAGTATTTAAGATTCCTGGTATGGCACTGTGGGCTAATGCGTCAGATAGCAAAGTCATTTGAACTGCAAGGTCAGTGGTTCAAGCTCACCAGCTGCTCCTTGGAAACCCTATACAGGGTCGCTATGTGTCTCAACTCGATGGCACTTAACAACAAGTATTTGCAACTTGTCCAAAACCAAACAACTTCCAGTGAACTTTTAAAATGATAAAATGTCATTTTGCTCGGAGGAATTATAGCATCTATTTCTATTGCCGTACAATGGCCTTGAAAATAAGATTGAAAGATCTATACTCACTCAACGAGTGCTGAAAGAATACTTTAAGTTAAATAAGAGCCACTTGATTTAAGCAAAACTCAGTGAAGACACCTACTATACAGACCAATGTTTCCACAATCAATGTTATTTCCTTTTAAAAATAAAGGGTAAATATACTTCCACAGAAAATGCATAGTATACAAACAATGAATATTTAAAATCATTTTAATAAAATCAAATATAATACCAAGCTACCCTGACACAAATGTGACCATTGTCTTCTTGTTCTGCCAAATAACCATACATGAATGGTCATCACAGTGGAGTCTCTAGCCTGCCACTTAGCCAAACTGAAAGGACAGTGCCTACTGTGGCAACATGTGGGGCGTTAATTATGAAGGTGTAAGGCAGCTCAGAGAAAACTTTTGAAAGGACATTAAGGAAGCCCCTTTAGCCTGGAATACTTCCCCTGGCTTGGTCCCATAAGCAGATCACTTTGCTAAAAGCCTTCTCTGTTGGTCAGGTAAGCCAATGCAAGTTGAATGCAGGTCTGGCAGAGCCCATAGCCATGGGATCTGGCTGAAGATGTTTTTGAGAAGGTACAGTCTGGCTGTGATTTTAACCAAAATACTGGAGGAACAGGAACTGGGACAAAGTTCACTGGGGATTTTAACTCTAAATTTTTCTTAATGATTTATTAGAATAAAGACCCACTTAATTTATATCTCTGTACAAAGACTTTCCTCCCTCCAATCCATTTGATAGGCTGCTGCCATAGAAACTTCTTATCACGGCCCTGCTCAAAATCCTTAATTGTCTATCAGCGTTTAAGTATAAAAAATAAACGTCAGGTTTGTTGTTGTTGTGCCATTGAGTCAGTTCCAACTCATAGTAACCCAATACACAATAGAACAAGACTCTGCCCAGTCCTGAATCATCCTCACAATTGTCGTTACACTGGAATCCAATGCTGCTGCCACTGTGTCAATCCATCTCACTGGGATCTCCCTCTCCTTCACTGACTCTCCACTTTACCAAGCATGATGTCCTTCTCCAGGGACTGGTCCCTCCTGATAATATTTCCAAAGTATGAGAGATGAAGTCTTGCCATCTTGGCTTCTAAAGAGCTATCTGGCTGTATAACTTCCAACACAGATTTGTTTGTTCTACTGACAGTCCATGATACTTTCAATATTCTTATACAACACCATAATTCAATGCATTAATTATTATACAGTCTGCCTCATTCATTTTCTATCACATGCGTATGAGGCTGTTTAAAATGGCATAGCTTCTGTCAAGTGTGTTTTCAAACTGATATTTTTGCTCTTGAATACTTGGAGAGGTCTTATGCAGCAGATTTACCTAATCTTGACTGCTGCTTCCATGAGTGCTGATTGTGGATCCTAGCAAAATGAAGTCTTTGACAACGTCAATCTATTCTCCAGTTACCAATATTGCCCTTTCCCCCTCTAGCATATATTCTCCCGTCTGGGTACAAACCCAAACAATTGGTGAGGAGAACAAAAAAATAAACCCAATAGTCCCAAGATGAGGTGGGAGATGAAAAGGGACTTGGTGGGGAAATCCTGGGATGGCCATTGGTCTCCAAGTGTGTCCCCATGATTCAATTGTTACAAACATGAGGACTAGAGAGTAAGTGCAGGGACACTCTAACAATACTTCAAGGATTGCTGGAACTCCTATAGGGAGTTGGGATCTGCAAGGCTAAGGACACTAGGGTGCTGGTCAACTCAGTAGCCTGGTCACTACTCTGTGTGCTCCATGCCACTACAGAAGCACAGAGATTGAGTAATGCAGGCTATTATCACTGAGGCCCTAGCCACCTGTCTCCAAACATCGGATTTCACTGTGGCGTCTCTAGCCTGCCACTTAGTCAAAGTGAAAGGACAGCGCCTGCTGTGGCAGCATGTGGGGCAGTAATTATGAAGGTGGACTGGGACCCCAAGTGGTGGGACCCGTTGGAATCCTGAACCTAGTTAGAAGGGGAGACCTGGGAAGAAGAGATCAAGGTGTCCATCTTGAGGTCTGACCAGTTATGACTCCTAAAATTAAAACTGACTAGCCTTGCCCAGTTGGTATGTATCCTGCTGATCTGTCGCTCCTGAATGCTGATAACTCAAAACACTGAGGGACTACACATCTGCTGAGTTGGAAGAACTGGTAACTAGGTACAGGCAGAAAGGAAAGAGTCTGTGGCTGCTTGG